TCAGGGTACAATTCTAAACATGTTTTCTTCCAGAAGCAGGAAGGTGACAACTAGCCTAAGATTCTATAGAGAGAACACAAAGTCCACTGATACTGGAGGTAGCATTTCCTGGTCTTCAGTTTCTGTCAGAGAGAGTTTCTGACAGAATTAGGATAGTAGGGGTGGTAAGTGTGGGTGGGTGTAGCAGTGAGAATTCCGAAGAAGCTGCAGCTTAAAGCCCACGTTCCCCTCCCTCCCTCACCAGCAGTGTCATTCTCTTATTCCTCCATCTTGAAGGTACCCATCCTCATGTTTTCATTTGTCTATAACATCAAATGACCAACAGGAACTAATCTCAATTGAAGAGCAGTGATCCAAGGGCAGGAGGTTATTTGGTTTTATATTTGTTGGTAATAAATGGCCATTGATTTCAATAACACATTCTAGTTCTAAAAAGATCTGCAAACTAACATCACATCTACTGCTTTTGGAAATACAACATTCTAAGATTAAAATCAGTTTTAGTGCTAAGCTTGGAACCAGACTGCCAGTTGGAAGGGAACTGATAAAGTCATAACTATCAGCAAATTTGAAGATTTGACTGTATGTATTTATCTAGCTGAGCACTAGACTCATCTTTCATAGAAAGCTGAGATTTCTTGGTGAAAAGGTATATTTAGACCATGAAGGGTAGTAAAATTTTGTTGTAGTTTGAGTTCTGATTCTATAACTTAATTATTTTTGTAAATTTGAGAAAATCCCTTGTTCTCTAAAACTAGTTACTCTCATACATAGTAAAAGAAACATGTTTTTTTTTTCCTTTGAATAATTTTTTTTTGCCATAAACATAGATTTTGCATTTTTTTTTCTCTTGTGAACTGGGCATGCGATTCCTTAAAAAAGAGTAGATCTCAACACATATTTGTTGAAAAATTATGGACTGCTTTTCCTGATGTTCCTTATTTTTATCTTTTCTAGTCTTTTATTACTGAAGGTACACATAGGAACTTTTAGAGTTTTATTTCAACCGTGCCTTGTATGTTCTTCTTCTAATTGTCTTTAAATGAGTACTGTACTGGGATGTTGACTGAGCCAAAATGTACAAAGATGATATATCAAAAGAGATTATTATCAATTTAAATTTAAACAGGGATTAATAATGTATAGTATCCTTGTTAAAATAAATTGCAAATATTTTTTTTAAAACTATACGTTATTGCACTTAGGTTACTTCCATATCTTGGCTATTGTATACAATACTGCAGTGAACATTGGGGTGAATATGTCTTTTCTAATTAGTGTTTTGGTTTTCTTTGGATAAATACCCAGAAGTGCAAATGCCAGATCATAAGGTACTTATCTTTTAAATTTTTTGAGAAACCTCCAAATGGTTTTTAGACATTGTGGTCCATATATACAATGGAATATTACTCAGCCATAAAAAATAAAATCATACCATTTACAATAACATGGATGAACCTAGAGGGTATTACACTGAGTGAAATCACTCAGACAGAGAAAGAATACCATATGATCTCACTTATATGTAGAATCCAAAGAACAAAATAAATGAACAAACAAAACAGAAACAGACTCTTAGATACAGAGAATATTTTGATGATTGTCAGATTGGAGGGGAGCTTAGGGGAGTGGGTGAAAATGGTGAAGGTATTAAGAAGTACAAATTGGCAGTTACAAAATAGTCACAGGGATGTGAAGTAAAGCATAAGGAATACAGTCAATAATATTGTAATAACTATGTATAATACCAGGTGGATACTAGACTAATCAGGAAGTTCACTTTGTAAATTCTATAAATGTCTAACCACTATGCTGTACACCTAAGGGTAATATAAAATAATATTGAATGTCAACTCTGATCAAAAAATAAAAATACAAAACTACTTTATTATGACAAAGAACCATAAGAACAGTTTGTTAAAACAAAAAAATCAATTAACCAGTTGATTGCTTTACATAAATAATTACTGACAAGTGATAAGAGGAACCCTAGTATTTCAAAGCCTCTAAAGTGGCCCATACACAGAGCTTTAATAATATTAATATCTGTGTTATATGCTGACAATATCATACAAGAATAAAATTGGGAAGCATTTCAGTTGACAACTTTCTTTTTTATTCTCTACTTTTTCTAACATCTTTTTTCCTCTTCTTATTCCATCTCCTTTTCTCTGTCCTACCTCTTCTCTTTCTCCTCCCAATTCTCAGTTAATTCATGATCTTTCAACTACTTTTTTCATAAATCATTTTAGTCCTAGAGTTGGATGACCTCTGATAGCAGGTAGACATAGCTCTGGAGAATTGAGTTTGTCAAAGTAAACAATTCTTTTATTTTGATGAGTCATCTTCACCAAAGTGAATAATAGCAGGGATATAATAGCAGGAATAATAGCAATCTTGAAGTGTCTACATACTGACAATTTCTAATACATTCACCCATTTTATGATGTGCTATATCACACTGAGAGAGAACTATGAAATAGCATTATAAAAAAATATATATCACAATTACTTCTTGATTAAAAGTGTTGCAATTCAAGGAAAATTAAATATTTAAAGAAGAAGGTAAAATCTGTTATGTGCTGATGGTAAGACAAAGTAATATGTGTTGTCAAAATTTAGAGAAAGAAGAGATTGATTTATTATTTTTAAAATATTTTTTGTTTTTTAATTATAGTTGCCATATAACATTATATTAGTTTCAGGTGCACTACATAATGATTAGACATTTATATAACTTATGAAATGATCACATCAATAAATCTAGTACCCATTTGACACCATACATAATTATTAAAATATTATTGACTATATCCCTTGTGCTATAGTTTACATTCCCATGACTATTTTGTAACTACCAATTTGTACTTCTTAATCCCTTCCCCTTTTTCATCCACACTTTCATCCCCCATCCAATTTGGCAATCTTCAAAATGTTTTCTGTATCTATGAGTTTGTTTCTGTTTTGTTTGTTTATTTTATTCTTTAGATTCCACACGTAAGTGATATCATATGGTGTTTATCTTTGTCTGATTTACTCCACTCAGCATAACTTTCAGGTTTATCCCTGTTGTAGCAGATGACAAGATTTTATTCTTTTTTATGGCTAATATTCTATTGCATATACGTATTAGCTCTTCTTTATTCAACAGTCTATTGGTTTTTTTTATTTGGCAGGAAATGGGAAAACTTTTTAGAAGTCTTCAGAAAGATGCTGGTGAGATCAGGAAATTAAGTGATGGATAGGATTTGATAAAGATTGTATTCAAGGAAGTTTGGTTTAGATAAAAAGAAAACTGCACAACTAAATGTATGGAGAAGGAAAAGCATGGATATCTCTCGGAAGACTGTATTTAAGTTGTTATAAGAAAAAAAGTTATTGTAATGAAAAAAATCAGCCAGGTAAATTAATAACAAATTGGTTGTTGTTCAGTAGTTTATGGAGGACATTTAAAAAGATTACCTAGAGAGTAATTTGATTATAGATATGTTTTAAAATTATTGTGGTTTGAAGAATAAGGAGACTTGACAGTCAGGAGAAGAGGTATTGAAGTCTTTGAATTGAGTGTAATAATAGATTTGGAAGGGAGGGACATGTCTGAAAGATATTGATAGTTTAATATGGTTGGGCCAAAGAACTAATTAAATATAGAAAGAAACAAAATCAAAAGTGGCCTCAAGAGTATAAGACTTAATGTTTGTGGCAATGAAGTGGTGATGGTAGAAATAACAAAATGGTAAGAGATGTGCGCTGAGTTTAGTTTTGGCATGATAAATTAGAAGTGTTGGCAGGATATCTGGTGAATGTGTTTAAGATTTTGTTGAACTTTACATACTTGTGACTATTTTGTAAGTACAAATTCATACTTTTTAATTTCTTCACTTTTTTTCATCTTACTCCCTAACCCCTCCCATTTGGCAACCATTAGTTTGTTCTCTGTATCTATGAGTTTATTGTTTTGTTTGTTCATTTATTAATTTTAGATTCCACATATAAATGAAATAATGTGGTATTTGTCTTTGTCTGACTTATTTTACTTAGCATATAGTCAATACTATTGTAATAACTATGTATAGTGTTGGAGAGTACTAAACTTATCGGGGGGATCACATTTATATGTTATATAAATGTCCAACCAGTATGATGTACACATGAAACTAATAAGATGTTCCATGTCAACTGTAAGAGAAAAAACGTTGTGGAAAATACAGAAATTAGCTCAGAAGAGGCCAGACAGATCCATATATTGTTGTGAAAGATTGAACTCATGGATTCAGGACCAATTTCATTAATGCTGTCATACAGCATCCTTGTTTACAGTGCCTCATGATTGGTTTAACACCCTGATGTTACTATTTTGAAACTTCTAATGATTTTGAACACAGGGACCCATATCTTCATTTGCCATGCAAAATATGTGGTTGCTCCTACAAGAGCTATTAAAGAGACAAAGAGGAAATATAGACAGGAAAAGAGGGTCTACACGAGACACTTTGGGGAAATGGTTTCACTGACAAGTCAGTAACTACACAGAGATCAAGAAATGTGGAGATTCGTTGTCTCAGGAAATTCCAAATGATGGGCTTTAAATTCTTGGGTGAGAATTGTAATTGTGTAGACATGAAGCAATTTTTAAATAGTGGAGTAAAATGATCAACATTTATTTATCGAACAAGTGTAAGACTTGAAAATTGTAAGATTTTAAAAACTGAATTAGCAGTTTATTATAAAAGAATATAAGAGAAACAGATCACCATTCAGATTGAAGAGAGGTTCTATGCCCTCTCCAAAGGTACCACTTCCGCATCTTCTCCATAATTTCCCTGACCTGAAAGCTCAAGATGTTTTAAAAGCCATGTGGGTCTGCTAATATGTAGGAAAAAGGATGAATAGGAAAGAGGCAATTCTAAAATAAAAGGCTCATAACTGGGCATAAGATTTAACAGGTGCCCTATGTTTTTCTCCTACCACACAATAGCTGCAACAGACAAGGCTGAGATATGGTCAAGCGAAATGGCACATCCACTACAGACTTCATTCTCTTGGGCCTCTTCCCTGAGTTCCAATATACCAGCCTCCTGGTCTACCTCATCCTCCTGGCCTACCTTGTTGCCCTCACAGGGAACGCCATCCTCCTCCTCCTGATCTGTGTGGATGCCCACCTGCATACCCCAATGTATTTCTTGCTCAGTCAGCTCTCCCTCATTGACGTATTCTACATCTCCAGCTCAGTTCCTAATATGGTCTTCAACCATGTCTCAGGAAAGCACAGCATCTCCCTCATTGGCTGTGGTGTCCAGATGTTCTTCTGCCTGGCCCTAGGTGGTGCCGAGTGTCTCCTCCTGACCCTTATGTCCTATGATAGAGTTGTGGCTGTTTGTGATCCCCTGCGCTACACAGTCATCATGAACCCAAAGGTTTGCTGGCTAATGGCAGTGGCACCGTGGACTGGGGGTGCTGCAAATTCACTCATCCAAACTATTTACACCATGCATTTCCCTGTATGTGGTCTGAGGGAAATAAATCACTTTTTTTGTGAGATGCCTGCCATCTTGAAGCTCTCCTGTGAGGACACCTCAGAGTATGAGATGGTGGTGTTCATGGTAAGTATCATATTCATCCTCATCCCTTTTAGTCTCATAATGGCATCCTACATTCGGATCTTCCTCACCGTGCTCAGGATGAACTCACCCGAGGGGAGGAACAAGGCCCTGGCCACGTGTTCTTCTCACCTGACTGTGGTGAGTCTCTACCTGGGGACAGGCATCGTGGTGTACATGACACCTGGCTCCTCCCACACCCCAGCATTGGATCAAGGTCTCTCTGTGTTCTACATCGTCCTCACCCCCATGCTGAACCCCCTCATCTATAGCCTGAGGAACAAGGAGGTGCTGGGGTCTCTGAGGAAGGTCCTAAAGAAAAATCTCATATTAAAATAGTTTAAGAAATATCCCTGTCCTAAAGATCTAAAACCAGTTGCATGTGAAAAATCAAAGCCCTGGCTTGTATCTTTCTTCAAGTATACAGAATTTCTGTTTATGAAAAAAATTGTTTTAGGAATAGGTTGTTGAACCCCAGTCACCTTATTGTGTTTGAAACAAAGGGATTGAGTTCAGCAAAGAGTTGTTTTTATATTAATGTTAGGAGAAAATGGCTTTGGTGGCATATAAATGAAAGCGTAGATATTCATTTTCTAATTCACTCACAAGCAAGACACATAGAAACAGAGAAAGCTGTGACTGCTTATTCCAGTTTATAACTGGGCATCAATCTGGTCTGAGGGGAAAACAAAACAGGAGACAAGGGCATTCATTTTTTTCCAGGAAAAATGTTTATTCTTGGTTGAGGTGTTTTTTTGTTTGTTTGTTTGTTTTGATTGAGTAAAAACCATATTTATTACTTTAGCAATCATTAAATAACAAATTATCTTTTACTTTTTTTCCTATTTTTTGTTCAAGCCAATAAAATTGTATTCTGATCTCCACTTACATTAGAATTAGAACAGTTTTGTTGACATCTTACCTAGAGCTTGACTCTATTACTCCTCTAACCTCATCTATTTTTCACACTTTCCCTCCACTCCTGCCAAATGAACACAGGATGCACTAAATGTGTAACACTATCTCACTTCTTTCTGCTTTGTGCCCTTAGTCTAGAATGCTCTTCCCCTCACCTCCTTTTAATCTGCATTTAAAACTCCAGGCCACTAAATCTAAAATTTTAATACTTCTCCAATACTTTTACATCTCTATTTCCTGACAATTTTATTCTTCTTAGTAATTATTACCACCTAAAATAGCATTGATGGTTTAGGTATTATGTTTATCTGTGCCTCTACCACAAAGCAAGCCCCACCAGGTCCAGGATTTTTGTTTTGTTTTGTTCACTTCTGTATTCCCAGTGCCTAAAAAAGAGTGTGACACATAGTCTGCACTGTATAAATGTATATTAAATGAATGATTAAATATCTGTTATAGACTCAGCCATTTCCAGATATACTAGAACTTGGCTTTAAAAGGGTGGATATTTTCTTTCAGTGCAATTTTGCTACTGTTCCGGGCAGTAGGACATCACATGACAATCTTCAGTCTGAACATGAAGTGAATTCTCATTCTTAATGTGTAGACTGCTCCCACGTCCCACCCCACATTGGTACCACAGCGTTATGGAAACGTAAATTGGTCAAAACATGCCCGTAATCCTGAGGTAAAGGATAGATATAACCAATATATTTTTGAGAAAGAAGATTTGAGGAGAGATAAATTGCCCATTCTATTTAACCTTTTATGAAAAATGTTCAGGGTGATGATGGGGGAGAGACAGAGGAGAGATAAGCAGAGAAGTGTTGCATTAGTAGATTGTACCTTGGAAGGATCTTGTGGATCTAACAATATTACAAAGAAACTGTGTCTTGCTTTGCAGGGGAAAAATTGGCAGTATTTCTTTAAGACCCCAGAGAGAATAAGTATTAGTAAAAGTAATGCTTTTTGCTGTAACAGATACTCCACTCAAATCCTGTTGTCTTAACACATTAAAATTTTATATTTTGTTCATAAAAGTTCAATGTGTAGGAAGTAGGTGGGGGGCGCGGTCCTATCCTTTGCAGTGATGCAGACTGACAGAGGCTCTCTATCCCCAGCATGTGACTGCTGATATTAGTGGGGCATTGATGGAGCACAGAGTGAGAGGTGATAGTGTCACACCCGCTGTATCCCATTTGTAAGAACTTATGCCACACCTTACTGAAAAGGAAACTGGGAACGATCATCTAACTCTGCCCCAAGAGGAAAAGAAAACAGGTTTACAGAGCCCTCAGCCAATGGCTTTGTATGTGTCTTGGCACATGTAGCCAATAACACAGTCACTGGCCCGGCTTAACAGTAAAGCAACAGAATAACATGTACACTCTCGAGTGTTGAATGCAGCTTCTAAAGGGGACATGGCCACAGGAACAAGGTGCAATGGAGGAAATTACATAAACTACCAAAAACATTTTTATACCCAGTCAGCAACCAGATTGTATTTCAACCAATTCATTCATTTCCCATGGGGGAAAAAAAAATTAAGATGTCAATCAATGTTTGCTTTTCCTCAACTATGCTCTCATTTCACAAAAATAATTTTAAAAGATGTTATTTGTAGACAGCATCACAGTAATACTCTGTCTTATCCTTGATGTATTTATCAGCTGAGAAAGTTGCAAACCTGATCTATTTAGAACCCAAATGACATCTAATATGTGGCTCTCTGGAATAGTGACTTGATAGCAAACACTAACCGTGTTAATTGCCAGGCTTAAATAAAGACAATGAGGACTAAGATCTATTTATCGCCTAAGCTATTGTTATTTTTAAAGATTTATCATTCCTGGAAACAGTTTTAAAAATTTTTAAACTTTATTAAATTTATTGTGGTGATATTGGTTAATAAAATTATATAGGTTTCAGGTGTACAATTCTATAACACGTTGTATGTATTTTGCATTGTGTTAACCACCCAAACTCAAATCTCCTTCTGTCACCATATACTTGACCCCCTTTACCTGTGTCTATCTTCCCACCCTCCCCCCACTTTCTACTTGGTCACCAATAAACTGTTGTCTGTGTCTATGACTTTTTGATTGCCTTGTTTGTTGCTTTCAGTTTTGTACATGTGAGTAAAATCATACAGTTCTCAATTTTTTCTGTCTGACATTTTTGCTTAGCATGATAATCTCAAGATCCATTCATGTTGTTGCAAATAATAGTACTTCATCTTTTCTTAGGGCTGAGTAATATTCCATTGTATATATGTACCATATGTCCTTTATCCGTCATCTATTGAAGGACAGTTTGATTGTTTCCATGTCTTGGCCATGGTGTGAATGATGCTGCTATGAACATTGAGTGCATATATTTTTACGAATAAATGTTTTCAAATTTTAGGGATAGATATCCAGAAGAAGGATTGCTGGGTCATATGGCAATTCTATTTTTATTTTTTTGAGGAACCTCCATACTGTTTTCCACAGTGGCTATACAAATTTACCTTCCCAACAGCAGTGTATGTGGGTTCCTTTATTCCCATATTTCTCTCCAGCACTTGTTACTACTTGTTCTATTAATGCTAGCCATTCTAACGTGTGTGAGATGGTATTTCATTGTGGTTTTGATTTGCATTTCCCTAATAGCTAGTGAAGTTGAGCATATTTTCATATGTCAGTTGGTCATTTGTATGTCTTCTTGGGAGAAGTGTCTGTTCAAGTCCTCTGACATTTTTTTTTGGCTTTATTGAAATACAATAGAAAATTAGTTGCTTGTATTTAATTGTACAGTTCGATGATTTTTTTCAATTATAATTGGCATACAATAATATATTAGTTTCAGTTGTACAGCATAGTGATTATAGATCTATATAACTCACAAAGTGATCACCCACTAAATCTAGTACACTTCTTTCTCCTTACATATTTATTACAACATTAACTATTTCCTTATGCTACACTTTATATTTCCATGTCTACTTTGTAACTACCTATTGTACTTCTTAATCCCTTTGCCCTTTTTCACCATCCACTCAACTCCCCTCCCATCTAGTAGCCATCGAAATATTCTCTGTATCTATGAGTTATTTTTATTTTTTTGTTGTCATTGTTTATTTTATTTTTTAGATTCCACGTGTACATAAATCATGCAATATTTATCTCTCTAGCTGACTTATTTTGTTCAGCGTAATACCCTCTAGATCCATCAAGGCAATATCATTTTCCATCCCCCTCTTAGATTGTGTCTTTTAATCTGAAGTGAGCCTCTCTTAGGCAGCATATGTAGGGGTCTTGATTTCTTATTCATTCAGCTACTCTATCTTTTGGTTGGAGCACTTAATTCATTTCCATTCGAGGTACTTATTGATAGAAATGTAGTTATTACCATTCTTTATTCCTGTTTTTGATACATGTTTTTTCTTCTTAAAGAAGTCACTCCAACATTTCCTGTAATACTGGCTTGATGTTGATGAATTCTTTTAGTTTATTTTTTGTCTGAAAAGCTCTTTATCTGTCCTTTCACTCTAAATGATAGCTTTGCTGGATAAAATATTTTTGGTTGTAAATCCTGGGTCTTCATTACGTGGAATATTTTGTGCTAAACTCTTCTGTCCTGAATAGTTTCTTTTGAGGAATCCACTGCTAGTCTTATAAATGCTTCCTTGTAGGTAACTAATTGGTTACCTTTTAAGATTCTCTTGCTGCTTTTAAGATTCTCTTGCTGCTTTTAAGATTCTCTCCTTTGTATCTAATCCTTGGCATTTTAATTATGATGTGTCTTGATGTGGCCTCATTGAGTTCATTTTTGGGGGACTCTCTGAGCTTCCTGGGGTTGTATGTCTATTTCTTTCAAGAGATTAGGAAAGTTTTCCATCATTATATCTTCAAATAGGTCATGAACTTCTTATTTTCCTTCAGGTACTCCTATGACACAGATATTTATACATTTAATTGTGTCCCATAGGTTTCTTAAACTATTATTATAGTCTTGGCTTCTTTTTTCTTGTTGGTCTCATTGAATGTCTTTGGTTTCCCCATCCTCTATATTGGTGGTTCTATCCTCTTCTTTATCTATTCTCTTGATTCCCTCTAATATCCTCTTCATCTCAGATAATGTATTCTTCATTTCTGACTGGTTCTCTTTTATAATTTCCATTTCCATTTTTATGGTTTTTACCTCTTCATTAAAGTTCTCACTGAGTTCATCTACTCTTCCCCTAAGTTCATTGAGCATCTTAATAATCAGTGTTTTGAACTCTGAATCTGTTAGATTGCTTGATTCTATTATTCCTGGATCTCTGTTATGTTCTCTCAGATGATTTCTGCTTCTTTGTCTTCCCATTCGGCTGCCTTTCTGTGTCTGTTTCTAAGTACTAAGCAAAGCTCCTAAGCCTCCCAGTCTTATTAGCGTGGCTT